AACAGCATTCCAAATACATAATCCTAGAAACATGCTTATGCAGGAAAGTATAACTCTACCCAAACTAATAGATTAATTGAGATATGGGTAGAAAATGAGTTCTTTTGAACAAAGATTGCCTTTAGGTTCTTCATTGTATCTTTCATATATTATTCATTATACGCAAGATGTTGTATATAAAAATGACAGTGTTTCTTAGGTCAGTTACAGTTGGTAAAACTCCTGTGAGCAAATATAAACTTAAAACAGCAAGGAGCTGGAGCCCAGCTCCTTCAGAGCTGTACCTTGTTCTGTGCCAAATGTAAAGATAGAAGCCATCTGATTAGCAGCTCCAGAATTGCCCTGTTTAGAGGTAAAGCAGTTCTTGCTTGTCAGAATTTCTCCCCACACATCCAGAATAGTAACTACTCTATTTTGGGGGGACCCGTTTGTTTTAATGATAAACGGATGCTTTATATTAACACCTTGTCTTAGTTACTCTTCTCATTGCTGAGACAAAATATTCAACACTCAGAGTTAAAGGAGGAAACGTTTATTTAGCTTACAGTTTGTAGAGATTTCAGTCCATAATTGGCTGGCTCCAAGACAAGGTGGCACAGCAGACAGGCATCGTGGAGGAAAAACAGTTCATGGCAGGCAGGCAGGCAGGCAAGAGCAAGTGAGGGATGACCACAGCTCTTTCTGTCCGTTAGACTTATCCGGCTACTTAGGGTGGGTAGCGCTCCCACCCTTAATCCTAGTGCCCTTGATCCTAGCATTGCACCGTGAAGTGCATCCATCCCAGCATCACACATTCTTGATCCAGCCACCTCTGAAAATGCCCCACCTATGACTGCAGGAGGCTTTAGGGGGAGACATCTAGGCATAAGCCATAACACACCTGCTGAACCAGATAAACGAACTGGGTTTCAAAGTAATCACAGGCCCTCTGGGAATAAGAGTATATCTACCATCAGATGTTGTTTGCTGTCCCTGAAATTATTATTGTATGTCCAGTCCTCGAAATGAATCCGCAGGATGTCTTTGCTATCCTAAGTTTCTTCAGGTTCTTTGGATTTGGAGGACAGCTTCTGAGCCAAGAGCCAGGTGCTGAAGGCAGGAACTCTAGTGCAACTGCCCTATGTAAACTTTAATCTCCCTTTGGAAAGTAGAATGAGGAGACATGTTTAAAAATTTGGTGAGGGCTTACTAGGGAGAAGATATTGGATGGGTCTCTTTGTGGGAACAGGTACTCTAAATTATATTTACCAAAGACTAGAGCTGGAGGGAGGTTCTCAGTAGGATTTTGGCAAGCAAGAAATGCTGTAATAAACAATTTGGAATCTGTTTATTTTTAGCTAAGTTATTAGTAGTTAAGAAACTGTCATTGTGTTCTTCAGCTGGTTAAATCACTGAACACTGCAGCAAAACTGTTTACAGTGACTACAGTTGGTTTTGTGTTTTCATATTCAACTCTACAGGATGAAAATGTGTATAAAGAACATTGTTTCCAGGGGCTGGGGATTTAGCTCAGCGGCAAAAGCGCCTGCCTGGCAAGCGCAAGGTCGTGAGTTCGGTTCCCGGTACCGGAGAAAAACCAAAAAAAAAAAAAAAAAGAACATTGTTTCCGTAAGATGAAGTTGGCTATGGAAGTTTTGACAAACTGATTTATGCATTGGACCACAGTCTTAATAAAGAGTTGAGTTTTACAGTTGTTTCACATTAATAAAATTTGTTGTAAAGATCCCCATTTTCATATTTTTATGTCATCTGTGAACGGCAGTTGTGAGTTCTATTTAGAGAAACTTCATTACATTGAAGTGATACAGACAGAATGTGCATTCTAACATTTTGGAATATAACTTAAGCTTTTAGAGGTAACTTTCATAGTATGTAATGTTATTAACTGCAACATAATTACAGTGATGTTATATTTACTCATTTTATACCTTTAACGTGTTTATTCTAAAAAAAGTTCTTGCACCTGTTGGTGGACTCCTGGTACTTCTCTGAGCAAAGGCTCACTCTTCATTGGCGGCCCCTAACAAGCGTCTTTATTTTACAGGATTTCCCTTGCATGTGGCTTACAAATAATCCAAAACATACTCCACCTTCATTACTGTAGTGTGTGCTTGCCCTGCACGTTGTGCTGTTGCGTTCTTCCTGGAACACCTACCTCCTCATCCTTCTCATCATTGCCTGCCATAGCTACATTTAGCTTTCACATCCATTCTGAATGCTACAGAGTTCCCTGTGGCCCCAACTCCTGCATTTGGATTCCTCACTATTCTTTCATGCTGAGCACATAGTCCTCCTCCAGGCTCCCTTTTCCTGTCTCAGGTAGGGCTTAATTCATTAATTTTTGTCGATATCTAAATCCTTAAAAGGTAGGCACTTCGGTTCTCTCCAGCATGTATTGAAACATCTGAATGGATAGTTACTGAGTCAGTAACTGGTAAGATGAATTAACGACCTGTTGCTGCAGTATTCTGTCCGAACCATTATGGTGCATCTAATCATCTGGAATGGAGATGAGTGCAACTTTAATGAAATTATAATCCCCATGATTATTAGATTACATTGTAGTTATGCAGTAACCTGTGGCTGATTAAAATACCAGATCTTAAAATTAGTTAAGAAAAAGTTTAATAAAGTAGCAAATAACTTCCTTATGTACCAGTAATACCCAGTAGGGATACAAGAGAAGTTATTCTCAAAATCAGTAACAGTGGTAACAGTGATGTGACATGCCTAGAAATAAACTGAAAAGAAATGTATGATGTGTGTGAATAAAACAAGTACATTGTAGTAAGATGTGTAAAGAAGATGCTGAGTGATGATAAAAACATTTCTAGATAGGAAGACAGAATACGGTGGCTATTTCAGCTCTATCCCACTTAATTTATAAATTTATCTTAATCCTAATAGAAAATGTACTAATTTTTTTTTTAAATGGTACTGGGAATTGAACTCAGGACCTTGCACTTGCCAGGCAGGCACTTGTGCCCCTGAGCCATTGAATGGCTAAACGAGCCATAAAAGTAGTAGTGAGAATGATTGTGGCACTTCTAAGAAGAAGAATCAAGAAGGGATGTGAAGGGAGTGGGAAATTCCTTGCCAGGTAGTAACTGATGGTCTTCACTACAATTTGGGTTTTAACTACCAGATTTGAAATGGGGGTGGTCTGTAATAGAGCCCCTCAGAGACCTTTATATACATTAACCTGACTTATAATAAATATCACAAGTCAATAGATAATCTATTTAATTATCTAATACATAATGCTAAGAAAATAGGCTATTGGGAAAGGGAGAAAATAAGGCTCCATCCTCATTTTAATCTGTTTAAATTCCAGAAGGAGTACGTGGTAAATGTGACAAAGGAAAACAATAAAAAATAGATTAAAAGTTAACAATCTGGTCTAAGACTTTCTAAAGTTAAAAGCAATGAAAAGGCATAGGAAAAATTGATAATATTTGATTATAGACATTTAGAAATTATTACTAGTCAAAACATAAAAGATGATCTGTGTGCATGTGTAATCCTGGCAGCTGAGGAGGCTGAGGCAGGGGGATTACTTGAGCCAGGAGTTAGGGCCAGTCTGTGCAATAGTAACAAGACCCTGTCTCACAACAGCAACAAAAAATGCTAAAGGACACTTTGGGGTAACATAGGCCATGTCTGATAGATCATAGGTTATCTTTATAATGTACAGAGATCTTACGAATAAGAGGAGCACTTAACATTCAAAAAAAGGATAAATATGAATAAATTAAGTCATAAGTGAAAATAGTGAAGACTAAATAAGGATGAAATGTTTTAGACATACAAAACTAAAAATGGTTGAAATTTAGTACATAAAAGTTGTAAGAGTATGATAATCATAGACACACTCTTTTTGACAGATATAAAATTAGTGTGGATGTTGTAGAACCTGCTGTGAAATTTTTACTATTTGAGCCAGTAATTTCACTCCAAGTGATCTGTCATAAAATAACTGAGATTGGTGTTATACTAGTCATTTGTTGCTGTATGAAATCATTTCAGAACTTAATAGCTGAAAACAACAAACATTTATTGTCTTATTGTTGCTATGGGTCAGGAATCCTTCTGCAGTTTAGCCAGGGCCTGTGACGGGTTTCCTCCGATTCTGCAGTCCTTGTAAGGTTCGACTGATTGACAGAATCCACCCGCAGGCTCATACATGCGGCTGTGGCAAGCCTCAGGCCTTAGCTGTTGGTGGAAGAAATCATTTCCTTTCCACATGGGCCTCTCTGGGGTGCTGCGTGCAGCATGGCAGCTGGCCTGCTTGAGGGAGAGATGGAAGTCCTGTTCTTTTTGTAACCTAATCTTGGAAATGACATATCATCACTTCTGTGCAGTAGTCTGTTTGCTAAGAAGTAGTAGGTCCAGCTCACACACCAACAGGAAGAATACAAAGGGCGTGAATACCAGGAAATGGACTCATTTGGAAATATTTTAGATCCTGTCCTCTATGTAAGTTAATATGAAAAATTTTTGCTATAGTTGTGTATGTATTTTTAATAACAGCGAGGAAACAAACATGAAGACACAGAAATAAGCAATGCAGATTTTCTGCATCTAATGTAATGGTTACCATGGCTCAAGTTCTCAGCGCAGAAATGTCATTTTGAGGTTATCTGGTTTCACATCCCCTTAAGCACACTGCCAATTAAGAGTAATTAGATTTAGTGACATGAGGAACACTTAACAAAATTTTTGAAAAGTAACCTACATGTGTGTTTTTTTCACATGTAATAAAAAAATAGTTGCAAATGTTCTTTTTCAGTGGCAGAATAATAGAATGTGGATATTTTTTTAATTTGTATTTTATTTTAAATCTACATCCTGCACATATCTCTTTGATAATCACTTTAAAAGTTAAAGTGCTTTTAAACATTTCAGCCCTTTCCACTCCCAAGGAAAAACCTCTAGCAAGACCTATGTACACATTTCTATGTTATCTGGTAATGAGTTATTCCCTTTAATCTATTTTCTAGATTACTGATCTCTCATTACCCAACTATCTGATGGCATCTTCGGTTGGACTGCTTCCTACTCAGCTTCTGAATTCTTACTTGGGTACCACCTTGCGGACCATGGAAGATGTCATTGCAGAGCAGAGTGGTAGTGGGTATTTTGTTTTTTGTTTACAGGTGAGTTTAAGGCCAAGGGTTCTCTTTCCTTCTCTTTCTCTCCCTCTGTATATTGCCTTGATGATTTAATAACCTGTCAGTTTTCACTGACATAATTTAAGAGAATCTTTTTCTTTTTTGGGTCTCTCATTGTCCTTTCAATACTACATATTTTGACAACGTTTTCTTAATTGTGTGGAATATGGAAGGTTTTAGAACTGAATTAATATGTATTGCAAATTCTTTTAAGGAAGAAAAAGGAATGATAAAAAAAGGATTCTTTTTTTCAAAGTCATTACAAAGCAAATATTATATTTGGACTTCGTGTGAAGGACTTGCTTTAAGAAAAATTTCATAATATCTTTGACATTCAGGGAGTCAATTATTACTTTCCTTTACAAATTTTCATACAGAGCTATATTTTCTTAGATAACCAGAATCTAGAAGTTTTATTAGATACGGTTTATTTGTCTTAATATAACTTTGATCACATATTGTTAAACTTCTTACACATTGTATCTGCAGTATATTATATGTAGTAATTTAATGTTTGTGATAATCTCAAGCTCCTGTAAGATTCTAACACACTGCATTCTCAGATTTTTAAATGTAAATTTAAATGTATTTGTTGTTTTAATTTCCCGAAAACGAGTAATACGTTCAAAACATCTTTTCTTTTGACATTTGGTTGGTAATTAGAATTCATGAGTAGCTCATAGAGAGCTGCTTATTTCTGTGCATCTTAGTAAATTGTACAACTGTAATCAGTATAGTTCCTAATGCTTTTTAAACTATAGAATCATCTTTTTATGCAGTGATTTTTTTTTTTTTACCTCTTCATTTGAGCTGGCAAATTTAACCTTAAAAAACAAGACAGAAAAGGTACATATCTCTTAACCCAGGCATTTATGGGGGCGAATTAAGATTTAATCAGGCTTCACTTTGATTTGCTGATGTTAGTTAGGGCTTGATTTGTTTCAGTAAGGATTTAATGGCAACTTATAAAATATATACAGAAGAATGGGGAAGTCATCTTGAAGGAGAAAATTAGCATAGAGGAAAAACCATGAAGCTTATGTTAAAGTTAGTAAGTATATTCATGCTAGAATCAAACCATAAATTTGCCTCTGAGCTTTGTAACCATCAACCTAAAGTGAGTCTCCAGTGTCAGTAAAGTTGGAGTACTTCAGAATAGCTGATCAGAGGAAGCCACAGCTGTGCTTGTACCGATGTCCAACTTAGATCCCACAGTGTCTCTGTAGTCACTCTTTTCTATGCCCTGCATTGTTTTGTTCTCATCTAGGAAAACCCTAATTCTGGATAAATCCAAGTTTGATGTGCTTTGCACCTGTTCTTTTGGGTGCGAAGCCGTATACAATACAAATGGATACTGTTTAATTCATGGTTGCAGACCTTCACCTGCTTTCTCAACACTGCCCGCCAGCCCCACTTTCGCGCCTTTTCACTCTGATATTTCCTTGAAATAGTTAACATATAGCCTGAAATAGTTTCCAGTTAGATTCATTCTCTTCCTACTACTTCCTTTTGCATTAAGAGATTGCCTTTTCTTTTCTTTAACAGAAAAATCAGAGACTTTCAAAAGGGAAATCCCTGCATTTCCACCTAGAAATCTGTTTACCGTTGTGTGCTCCTGCTCATGCCCTTGGCCTGCTTTCCTGTTGATAGTGGCAGAGATGCCTTTTTTCCTGTGGAGGCTTGTCCTCCCTGTGTGTGGGTCTCTCGTTTCATTGTAATAGAGAAACTTTTTAAAAACAGTCATGTAACAGATCTAAGAGAGGACCTATTCCATCATTAACCTTGTCTAATTCAGATGCACTTTCCAGTTCTCATCCAGTTTGACCTGCTAGTAGCCCCAGCGTGTTGACCACACCTTCATCCTTAAAACTGTCTTCCTTTCATTTCTTGGATGTCACTGTTTTGTGTTTCTTCCCCACATGCCTGGCTTATGTTTGTCTTTTCATGTCCTAAATACATGGTTCTGAAGAGTCTAGCCTACATTTTCTTAACTCATACAGAAAATGTGTTTCCTTGGCTAATCCAGTTGATCCGGTGGATGCTGATGTTTGTATAGATTCCCAGAGTCCAGTTCATGTCCTTAGCTCAGACTTCTTTCCATTGCTTCAGACCAGCCTCATTCATTGAACTTTTCTAGATGTCTGGAAGGTGCCTTAAATTCAACACGCCTAAATTGAACTTGGGATTTCATTGATGTATCCCCCCAATTAATTCTCCGAACCTTTTCTTCATCTCTTTACATGGTGTTGCATCCACTCTTAAGTATCACACATAAGAGTTTTCAGTAAATGTATCTTATTTCTAGAACTGACATGTTAAGGACAATTAGAGGATTTCAAAACTGACCTATATAATTCTATATTAATTAATGTTTATCCAACTGTTAGGTAGGTATTTTTTGTTCCTGCAAGGAAGCTTTTTTGTGTTACAAATAGAAAAGTCTTGACTTGTAGAATGCAAGCATGATTCATATGGATTAAGTGTTATATATTTGCTGTGCATTTACCTGATAGCTTATAATACTTAGAGAGATATTGGCTCTCCGCTCCTGGGAAAAGCAACAAAAGATAAAATAAATAACTATGTATAAAGTATTTAAAATGTAAGCTTTCTCCTATCATTTAAGATTTATTTACTTTCTGTATATATTATTGATAACTAATACTTTATTTTTATTCACAGATTATTATAAGCATAGGCCTCATGTTTTATGTAGTACATCGAGCCCAAGTGGAGTTGAATGCAGCTATTGTAGCTTGCGAAATGGAACTGAAAACCTCTCTGGTTAAAGGCAGTCAACCAGATACCAGCGGCTCTTCATTCTACAACAAGAGGACCCTAGCATTTTCTGGAGGTGGAATCAATATTGTATGATTCTAGAGAAATCTGTGATTGTCCGGATCCTAGTGTGCTGTCCAAGGTCTAGAAGTCACTTCGTTAGTGGCAGAGACAATTTCTATTTGTATTACGGCACAAACAAAACTGACTAGTTTTTAAATTGCACAATTTTTTTAAGGCGAGAATCATTTTCTGGATATGTAAAATGTAAATGTAGATGCAATTTTGGCTGCACCTCTTTATCAAGCCTGTCATGGCCTATAGGTCTGCACTTTAGTGTTTTTTAATCCTTTTATTTCTGGGTACTTCTGAACAGAGATAACCCAAATGTTTTTTTCTGCTTAGTGTCTTAATTTATAAAATTCATGAATACTTGTATGCATCTTATTTATAAAGATGAGTAAAAGTATGCAGGTTTAAATGTATGTTACTAGCTGTTCTTTGCTTAGGTAGCCTTTCCAGAAGGAATAAACAGTGTTTTGTTTTGTTTTGTTTTATTGTTTCAAGTGGGACCACTTTGCTTCCTTTTCCTTACTTGTTAGGAAACAGACATTAACTTTCAGTTGAATGTATCTTTGCAAGCATCACCTTAATGCAGGGCCATTTACATCTTTTCACAAAAGCTTAAATCCTACAGTGTGGGACTGAAGTGCTCTTAAGATAAATACGTTTTTATTTTCACTGTGTAATATGCAAAGCAAAAGGGAAATTATTTAGTGGGTAGTGGCTCAAAATTAGAACTTGTGTTCTAATTTGGTTACATTGGCTTTACTCTCCTTTTATCTTTCATCAAAGGGCTGTCCCATTGCAATCTTAATAAAACATTTTATTAAAATGAACTTTTTCCCTTTTTGTATTAATAATTAGGCTTTGAAATAAATACATTATTCCTTTAAAATGGTGGGCTTGCCATCATTGAAGGTGTCACTCAGGTGGCCTTGTTGAACAACACGCCTTTTGAGAAAACCAAGCTTTAAAGTCATGTTTCTATTCCATTGAAGTACTTACATATGTGTTCCTATACTCTTCAGCTTTAAAACTATGAACAACTTAATGCCCAGTTTTGTATTGTTTGCCCTACTATAGGTAAATTTATTTTGTTTTGTTTTTTGGTACTTGTCTTTCTCTGATAAGACTCAGGAATTCTGAAATGTGAAATTATCTCAATTCTTTCTCTAGTAGCATGATGTCAAGTGTATTTATTAATAGCACTTACGACTGCAGAATACAGTAATTTGGCGTATAATTCATATAATGTGTGCATTGTTCATTTTTAAAATAGTTTAAGCGTGCAATTACTTATTAGTCTTTACTAATGAAACAGTAGTTATTATGTGGATTTTCTATTAGGCATCTCCTTTTTTCTCCGTGAGTATTGCAGCTTATCAGAGACCTCTTATTTGCCTTTTCATTAAAGGGTAAAATTTTTACCCTGATTTACTGAACTACGAAGGAATTCTTTGGAAGCTGATTATTCAGTCTTGTGCTAGAGATTAATTTTGCCCCCTGTAGATGTAATTGTTTTCCTTTCCTTCATAATACATACATTCTCTTATCTTGGTGTAACAATACGACACTTAAGTGCAAATATTCGGAGAGGCCCCTGGGGATAGCACATAGTTGGCCTCCAAATCCTCCCTTCTGTTATTGGGAGGAAAAAAAATACATAGTGTTAGAATATTCGTATTCTTTTTTTTAGTCCTAATTATTCAGTTTTTCAAAAAAATTAGTTTAATGATCCTGTTGAACAATATATTTTATTTATTCTTTTCTCTCTAACTGGTCAGCATGTTTCTTGTGCTTCTTGTTTGTCAGTTTTTGTTAAAGGAATCATTTTAGATCACTGTTTTCATATTTGTTTTACACTTCATGTATTTTGAAGTGCATTTATTTACTTAGCATTTGTGACTTGAATAACCTCACCAAATGAAAACCTTTTGGTAGTTTGTAATATGTTCTTCCAAATGTTACACTTCGCGTGGTACTTATACTAAATATGTAAAGGTAAAAGAGAAATAATTTTTCTGTGTTCTGCCAATCATAATTTTATATAATAAATTATCCATTTTTTCCTTAAAATAGTATGGATTGAGTGTTTCTGAAACATTACTCTGTAGCTGAAGGATTTTTCATCAGCATTCCCGGCCTCCAAGGAAGCTGCAGTCCATTCCAGCACCGTGCTGCTAGCGGGCATTTGGTTGTTGGGTGCTTAGGTTGCGCTCGCTGTAAATGGTGCCCGCATTTCTGCGCCTCCTGTGCTCAGTCCCCAACCCTGCCTCCCACTCGGGGCAGCAACACGTTTCTGTGGATGTTCTTTTATGTTGTCCAAGTTTTGCCTCCAATCATATATTTACGAAATGCCTCCATTTGTGAACTTTTATAGCAATGAAATGTTTTTGATTTCGTAAGCTGCTTACATACAGAATAAAGTTGTTTTATTCTCTTTTAAAGAAGCACCTGTTTTCTAAATTTGGTGAAAGATAGGTTGTATTTTAGTTCTCAGGACCTGTCCTTGTTTTCCATATTTTTGTGGTATATGGTTTACTGTTTACCAAATCTTGCTGTATAAATTTTAAGTACTTTCATGTCCATTTTTATTTGATCATCTGATTTATAAAATGAAATTTGTACTCTTCGTTTTGTGAAAGTAAAATAACCAAGTCTGCATCAGAGTGTACATTTTGAGTTTATGTTCAGAAGTCCCTGGATTTATTCAGAAACAGCCATTCTCTTGGAGGTACTCTAACAGCTGCAGACCTTTCTAAGGTAGTTTCCCCTGAGAAGATCAAGTGTACAGCTGTAAGACACTTAACCTCACTGTGAAGCTGTGAAATTCAGTACTCTTATGTGCCCTTACTATAACTGAACTAAATGGCGAGGTGCATGCGTATGTCCGCATCACTATTTGGTAATGCACAGTACTGATAAGGGTGCTTCTTAGGGAGGGTGCTGAGACGTAATATTCATTAATATTTGTTAGTTATAGGGCTTTCTTTAGGGTGCTTGAGAAAGTGCTTAGGTATATGTCAGTTCAGTGCAGGTAAATCCTACATGTTTGGTAAATCCAGCTCTTCACAGCCCACCAATATTTGCAGAGAAGAGGTTTTTACAGACTTCAGGAACATTTCTGAAGTGAATTGATGAAGTTGGTGGTGGAATTTTGTTTCAGTCAGAAGGTAGTCATTATTTCAGATTGATGGGCATTATTCTACTTCCTGGGTTTTAGAGTAGTTGTTGCTGATTTCTGTTCTAGTAAAGTATTAAGGGTATAATTTTTAAAGGGTCACTGCATAAAGCTGAAAAGTCATTTTTTAAAAAGGGAGAGGAAGGCCAAGTGTGGTGGCACACACCTGTATTGCCAGCATTTGGGAAGCTGAGGCAGAAGAATCGCTGTGAATTCAAGTCCAGTCTGGACTACATGGTGAGACCCTGTCTCAAAAAACCCTAAACAAATAAAAAGGAGGAATTGCTGTTCCACAGGGTATTTAAGACTCAGAAGTTTAAATGAACTCTCGTACTGAACATAAACTGTTAACTTACTCCACAACTCACTTATCATCTGTTTCTGAACTGTAAAGAAACTGCTGCAAACTATTTTGAAGGTGGCTAAAGATTTAAAGTGAATAATTCTAAAGGTAAATCAGTAAAATATTGATAATTGGTATTCCAAGTCACTTGTGTGCCTGAGAAGATAAACGATGATATTTTATTTTCTCTTTTTCTTTCCCATGAATGTAGAGACATGTCCCATGGACAAGAGTAGTTCAGGGGAAAAAGAAGATGTATATTTAAAAATGCTTATAAGCAATCCGTGTGCTATGTTGTAGCAGAGGGCCTGTGGAGAAATGGTTCTGATGTCTTACGTTGGCACTTTGCAGTTCTTCCTGATAGTGTACCACTAAGTTATGAAACACCGCCTACCAGCCAAACAATTGATAACCTTTTGTCCAGAGCTGTGATAACCTGTATGATGCTTTTCATACAGTTAAAGAACTTTCACCAATCTAATTTTCTGTTGATCTGTACCTTGCTTTACATGACTGTTTTCTTAAGATGGCATTACAGCTGCATAAAACTTTCATCTTAGCATCCAGCACTGTTGTATAGGTTTTGTTAACTGCTTCCGGTCAGAAGTGCCTGGGGGCGCATGGGGTCATCACGCCTTCCAGCCAGGGGGTGCAGTGTTGACCTTGTCAGATCAACGTGTTGGCATGGTAGTGTGCTCATAGCTCAGGACAGAGCTGTGGTTCCTGCCATACCTTCTCCTTGGTTGACACTAGAATTTTTATCAGCACTCTTGTGTATGGGAAAAACGTATGTATTATGAATTAAATATTGAGCATTATATACATGATAGTGTTAAACTCCGTGTACCTGGCAAATTTCTGGTTCATCATTTTCCCAGATTTCAAAAAGTTGATTAGCAAAATTGAGTGATTATTTTGTCACTGTCTTAAAGGTGGCTCAGTATTTTCTAAAGTACTGTGCTAGGTGAGAAAGTTGAAAAATCATGAAGTATATACTGAAATAGAATCGAAAAGAGTGGACAGGATACGTACTGAAGCAAAAGAGTAATTGAAAATTGTAAAATTCTCACGGCAGGTGTATAATTAGAGTGGAACGGTTTAATGTAAGTGTATTTATCCTAAGATCCATTAGATTCATGGCTAACAAAACGTAATAGAAGTCAGTAGGGAAGTGGACCTTGATTCTTTGTTAGTTATAAAGCCATTCTCCATAGAAGTGTTTGCAGCATGGTCTGTTTAATACCCTTTATCTCTTAGGCTCCTGTCTGAAATTCACCATGATGGGGAGGGGAAAGGAGTGCACTAGTTTTCCACCCCATTTTTCTTCAGTTTATTACTCTGGTTTTAACTTTATTAACTGGCTTGTGTCAATATATTTCTACTTTAAATTTTCTATACGATGGTTTTGTTTGCAATCCATGTGTTAGGTAGGTTTCGTAGCAATACATTAAATTATTAGATGGACTTGGAATAGATTCTGGGAACGCTG